GATAACCTATTCACAATTCCACTTGTTTTCGTGATTTGTGTAATTTTTTCTCCTTCTGCTTGATTGCCTACGTCAGATGTTTCCCTTCTCTTCTAATCAATTCTTGGAATTTCTTACTTTGCATTACGAACCGAAACTCAGTCACGATCCAATGTGGGTCCTCTGTTGAGCATATCAAATTTTCATTGGTACCAAAAAACTGGGGCAATGAAGCTCTGGATGAATAGTTTTCGAAATACTCAACTTATAAAGATACACTTCATCCCGATTTTTAGTTTTTTTTCAGGTGGCTTATGGTAGGCTTTTCACACTGTTTTTAAGCGATCTCGCCGAAAATGTCTTCCATATCTGTTTTGAGGAGTAGTGAGTTTCGGTTACTTTGTGGTGGCTTATGGTTGTTTCCAGACCATCGAGGTCCACTTTAAAAACAGCCTTCTCATCACTTTTCACAGCCTCTTCAGGACACTCTTATCAATATTCGTTCAACCCAAGTATACTTGTCTCATCAATTTTGTTGCTGTTTGTTTTTAGAGTTGTTTTGTTGCTTCATTCCAGTGCCGATGATCGTGCAAGTTCAGTTGGACATATCCATGGAGTGTGTGCGTCTGGCGCATTCTCGTCTAGCTCCGACCGATCCAACCCCGCATTCCTACCGTCTGGGTTTAGAGTGAGTGTTTTTTTTTTACCGATCTCAGATGTGCACCACGCTTGTGACACCTCCCTCTCTCTTACCCCTCCATGTATGGAGTTTGTGGTTAGTAGTTGCCTTACTATTATTATATGGTATCCAGATTCCCAATTTCGTGCATACGGTGTGTTCTGTTCACCATGATATACCAGTTGAGTGTTTAGCAAAAGTGATTCTAATTGTGAAACATCGTTCTTTGTGTTGTTACGTCGTACATTACCGTTTACTCTGTTACTTCACCGCACCAATGTGTTTGTTTCATCCTCCGATAACCTTTCAGTTTCAGTTTGTAGAACCATGCACTTTCATGCGCTAGTTTTGGTTACTGTCTTTTGGCTGCCCATTTGGACGAACATTAGGCGAAAGGCAGAAAGGGTGAAGATAGAGTCGAAGAGAAAATTAAGAAATCCAGTAAACTATGGTTGAAAAGAAACTGAGATGTACGAACGCAACTGTTTACGACACTCAGCTATATCACTCAGTGTCTCTAACCGTCGGTTACGATCATCCCGAGGTCCCTATCCGGGAGCCTAACGGGACCTATGTGACCTGGTTTCCTAATTAGGGTTTTCATACCCTCGTGCCAGGTCTTAGCTTGACCACCCTTGGCTTTTTTCCACCCACTATCTGCCTCAGCAAACATCGCACACCGTGACAAACTATTTGGTGATATGCGTAACACATGCCCCAGCCAACGTAATTTATGGCGGTTGACCACTTGCTTCACTGGGCGACCGCGGTTACCTAAAACTCTACGCCTAACGTCAGCACTGCTCGTCCGGCTACCCCACCAGATTCGTGCAATGCTGCGTAGACAGCAGTGTTCAAACACCGACAGTCTATCTTTATCTTGTTTTCTGAATGGTCGAGTTTCTGCGCTGTATAACCTTTAGCATGTTTGGGAGTGGGTGTCTTAGGTTGTAACTCGCCATCCTTCCCTTGCATCTCGCGAAATACTCCCATACGACCAAGGGTTTCATCTAACCTGTCATGCGGAAGCCCTACTCACACTACCTTCTGGTGGCCGCGATTTTTGTCCCCAAGAGTGAAATGACGAAAAGTCTCTATCCGGGTCGGTGAACCACTGGCAGTTCACTTTGGGGTAGTTGACTAAAAACCCTGATTCCAAATCAGTCACGAAGAGGCTTGATTGGCATCAAC